TGCGGGGAACTCTGCAAAAAACGCATCTTCGCACGGGCAGCCCGTGCGTTGGCCAATTTTTTTATGATGCGCTGATGCACAGCACCATCATTCCCGTATTTCATGATAAAACTGCTGCAGCTCTTATTACGATGATGCCCCCTCCACCCGCTTCCTAACTATGCAAGCTTCAAAGTTACTTTTTCGATTTTATCCTATGTCTCATTCCTCGCTTTCCTGATGTGCCAGTTATTCTAGTGCGGGAAAGGGGAGGGGGAGTGAGTTAATTTTACATTGCTTGTAATTCTTAAGCATGGCATATGCTTTTCGAGGCAATAGAATATAACGGATCTAGCCCGGAACGTACGCTCCATTCTCCCACACGCTCGCGAAGCGTTGCACATCTCATTATCTCTCTCTCAGCTTTTTCTCTCATATCGGGACGATAAAGATGTTCACGCAAGAAAGCACGGCACACGGCGGTTCTACAGTGCACTCTACAGCCTGCTACTTTTATTTATTCTTCAAATCTGGACCATATTAATTCAAAAAAAAGAAATAAACTCATTTCTTCTTCGCTATCAAATCCAGAGATTCAGTGCATTTTAGAAACTTCAAGGCAGTTCGTTCTGCCAGTACAACTCTCTTTCAGACTTCAGGAGTACTTACCAGAAGAAGCACCGTACAGTGCAACATTGCCAATGACCGAATTCTCTTCCGACGGAAAGGTTGCATCACGAGATGGATAAATCACTATTTTGCCACCAGACAAGCCCTGCAATCAGAATCAGTGCTGTTGGTTTAGCCGTAGGCTTGCTCTGACGGAATAACCGGAAAATCCAATGTAAGAACAATTAGAAGGGAAAGGTAATCAAAATGCTCACATATATTCAGAAAATTTAGACTGGGATGCACCATAATCTTCAGAAAAACCATACAAAACCGTCTATAACTAATTTTCGGAATTGCTTAGGTAGGTGTCACCGGTTGAACAAAAAGCCCCGTCAAAAGGCGTAGGTTCATTTCTTAAGAAATACTACCGAGCTTCGATAGGAAGCAAAATGTTAGAAATACACTGCTGCGAAAACGCTGCTTTACAGTGGTAAATTTGAAAAGTAATCGACCAGATGACATTAGTGAGGTGATGAGGAGGAAACTGATTGCTAATGAAAAAATCTCGACCTATTTGCAGAAGAGTGGGTTATCTGCAGTTTGGAAAAACCTTCCAGGTATTCGTAGTTGCTCGTGCAAAAAAATGCAGATTCGCTCTGTTTTTTTGAAGCTTATCAGAAGAGCTCTGAATATCGTTAGGGAAAGTGCTGCATGGCAGTCAGAAGATAAATTCAACTGAAATATCCTGATAGCCTTCTCTATTTCCCTCTTGCAGTTCTCGAAATGAAAACCTTACCTTGCCAACATAGTCATTAGCATCGCCTTCCAGGTACAACGCTACTCCTTTAACTAAAAATGCGCCGAAGCTTTGCCCCGCATGGCCACTGAGGTCGATACGAATCGAGCGATCACTCGGAAATCCATCTTCACCGAACTGTTTCGATATCTGTTGCATTAAAATTCGTTAATTGGAGAATAGCGCAGAAGGTGTGTTTAGGCGGAGGATACGGTTACAATGAGGAAACGCGGGAAGCAACGGCAGCGAAATGAAAAAATGCAAACAGCTGAGTTTATAAGCGCTCAACTCAGCTAAAGAGCTTAAAGAATTTGCTAAGTGTCTCGATGCAAAACGCAGGCTCCGAGGGTGTTAGACTAGACCGGCGAAAATACAGTGGTATGGAAGGTCAAATTAAGGGCCCCACCGTATTGTGGAACACAAATACATATTTGCGTCCTAGCATTACAAAAGTAACACAGTGTAGGTGAAAAAAAATTTGTTTGATATTAGACTTGATTTAAGATTAGTGCCTAATTTCATAAATTTTTTGTTAGAACTACAGCTGGAAGTGCTTCACTGTTCTCTTACATAAGAAGTGTATTTTGCATCTTTACTTTATATTTTGTTGACATTTCTTTTTCGTATCAAACTGGGCTTGAAGTGGTACTAACAGAGCTATAGTCAAAACCCCTCTCAGCACTCATGTTCTGTTATAAATGGAGGTACTTGGAAGAATTCCGAGAACAGCAAGTGTAGATGTAACTGTTCTGCAGCGAAGCTGCGCTTGTGACAAAAGGGCATTATTTGATAAATGTTTTTATTTTTTTCCGTGATCCTTTGTTTTATTTTTTAGCTTCCTATTAATCATCTTCACTCTCTCGTTTCACGTACCGTAATCCTTTGTCTGAGGGAAACGAACACTTCCGGGGTCTGGGAACACATCTGTTTACGGCGGTAGACTTGGAGGGACAACAGCCTGGACCGCATCCCCCTCTCTACTACATAAGAACCCCTTCTCTCCAGTCTCCAGTCGGGATCTCCTTCATAATCTTCATCGGGATCTTCTTCATATTCTTCATTCAGGATATCTTCCGCTCAACTCGTCCCCTCGACAGGATCGACATTCGGCTCTCGGGATTGCTCGTCGACTAACAACTCAACCGGCCCCCCCACAAATTCAACGTCAGCATCTCACTTAATGTCCAGAATAGTTATCACATATTTCTTGGCGTGCAAGCCGTGCTGACTGCATATACTGCCCCGTTTCCCTCTTTTTTCATGTTGAATTAGATCGCACTTCAAACAACACAACTTCCAATAATACTTTAACTTGCAAGCCTCACTATACCACGCCAAGACCAAGATCTCACCAGGCATATCCCACATTACTCAAGTGACAAGAGCAACCACCAGCTGCTAAGGCTGCCGATAATTTCCTCTTCCGAACAAGAGTACTGATAAAAATAATTCACAATAAACAGAAGTATCAATAGACCACCTGTGAAAAAATGAAAATGCATCACACCTCCCTGGAAAAGACAGCTCCTACCTTTAGATGCTCCAGGATTCACTACTAAAATGCTAACTAATAAACAAATGCATTTATCATGGCACTTAAAAAAAATATAGACCTTGTTTCCACTAACATTTATTAAAATAGCACCAGCTGTTTGAAGAGATCCTGGTCGGAGTAAACAAAAAAGGGAATAGAACAATAAACACTTACGTGATAACTAAGCCTCACACCAAAAGCACGGTCTGTATTCACTATCCGGACATCCTTGAAATGCTTATGCTCTACATCTCCACCATTATCAGTGAAAAGATCTTTCGTGGTTGCAACGAATCGCTTTTCCAGTTCGCTGATTTCCACTTCCTGTAAGTAAATCTACATGTGACTGCAAGCTGACTAAAAATGTAACTGGAATTTTCAGACATTTTTATCTGGCTCAATCCGCCTGCACAATCATCGTGTGTTCCAGCATTTTACAGTATAAACCCAGGCTGGAATGCACCAGGCGAGCCGGTGCGATCATGCGTTTTTGCATCAAACTTTGAGGTAGGATAAAAGGAAAGAAGGAAAAAAGGAGAAAACCCAGGCTGGGACGCACCAGGCGAGCCGGTGCGATCATGCGTTTTTGCATCAAACTTTGAGGTACTCCATCAGATTTCCCTGCCCTTGCCCCACCCCATGCACTCGCTGTTTCGCCCCTCCTCTTTCCCCCGCCCCCCGTCCTGGACGCCCATCTCCTTGAAGCGGTGATATTGTGCTGCATTATACAGCACAATTACAAACCGGATTCGTGAGTACGGTAAGATGAGGTATGTGTAGTTCACAGCCAACCGCTGAGCGGTCTATCGAGCGGGGGGAGAAGGGTCGGCGTTCTTTCGGTTCTCGTTTTTGCTTGGCGGGGCGCCTTTTGCGATTGCTCTGAGAGAGGGATACCGTAGTGTTTTGCGCAGGATAGGAACAGCGAACAGCCATGGCATCCGTCTCCCAAGAACAGCTGCGTAATCCACACCTCGGAACAGCCACGGGAAAACGCCTGCCTTAGGGGGCTCAGA